TTCAGTTTATATAGTGAATGTTTGAGTTTGTAAAGAAGAATACAAACACTGCTATTTTTTTGAACAGTCTAATAATCACTTTTCATCAATTTTTTTTAGAGGAACAACACAAATTTGATATATTTTTCTTCATGTTTTGATTTGGAATAGAATGTGTAGTGTTGCCAATGCATTTGTGTGTATGGAAATAAAAGCTATTAGAAGGATTTTGAACTTTATTCACTTTTTTCAACACACTGCTATTATTTTGAACACAACTGTGTGTGTATATATATATATATATATATATATATATATATATACACATATCTCAAAAAATTAAGGAGCACTTTGAAAACACATCCAGTCTCAAAGGGGAAAAAAAAATCTCATGCTGGATATGGACTGGGTAATGTGTTAGGAACGTGAGGATGCCCCATCGTTTAATGGAAATGAAAATTATCAACCTACAGAGGACTGAATTCAAAGACACCCCGAAAATCAAAGTGAAAAAATGATGCAGCAGGCTAGTCCATTTTGCAGAAATTTAATTGCAGCAACTCAAAATGGTACTCAGTAGTTTGTATGGCCCCCAAGTGCTTGTATGCATGCCTGATGTCTGGGCATACTCCTAATGAGACAACTGATGGTGTCCCGGGGTATTTCCTCCCAGATCTGGATCAGGGCATCAGAGAGCTCCTGGACAGTCTAAAGAGCAAACTGACAGCGTCAGATGGTCCAAAACATGATATCCCAGAGGTGTTCTGTTGGATTTAGGTCAGGCTAGCATGGGGGCCATTTAATGATATCAATTCCTTCATCCGGCAGGAACTGCCTGCATACTCCACATGAGGCCGAGCATTGTCGTGTACCAAGAGGAACCCAGAACCCACTGCACGAGCGTACGGTCTGACAATGGGTCCAGGGATTTCATTCCATTACCTAATGGCAGTCAGGGTGCCATTGTCTACCTTGTAGAGGTCTGTGCATCCCTCCATGGATATGCCTCCCAAAGACCATCAATGACCCACCACCAAACTGGTCGTGCTGAATGATGTTTCAGGCAACAAAAGGTTTTCCACGGTTTCTCCAGACCCTTTCATGTCTGTCACATGTGCTCAGGGTGCACCTGCTCTCATCTGTGAAAAGCACAGGGCGCCAGTGGCGGATCTGCCAATTCTGGTGTTCAATGGCAAATGCCAATCCAGCTCTATGGTGCTGGGCAGTGAGCACAGGGCCCACCAGAAGATGTTAGGCCCTCAGGCCACGCACATGAAGTCTGTTTCTGATTATTTGGTCAGAGACATTCACACTAGTGGCCTGCTGGAGGTCATTTTGTAGGGCTCTGGCAGGGCTCATCCTGTTCCTCCTCACACCAAGGAGCAGATACCGGTCCTGCTGATGGGTTAAGGACCTTCTACAGCCCTGTCCAGCTATCCTAGAGTAACTGCCTGTCTCCTGGAATCACCTCCATGCTCTTGAGACTCTTGTGCTGGGAGACAAAGCAAACCTTCTGGCAATGGCACGTATTGATGTGCTATCCTGAAGAAGTTGGACTGCCTGTGCAACCTCTGTAAGATCCAGGTATCACCTTAGGCTACCAGTAGTGACGCTGACCCTAGCCAAATGCAAAACTAGTGAAAAACAGTCAGAAAAGAGGAGTAGGGGAAACAAAAGGTCAGTGGCCTCCATCTGTAAAACCATTCCTGTTTTGGGGGGTTGCCTAATTGTTGCCCATCTAGTTCACCTGTTGTTAATTTCATTAACACCAAAGCAGCTGAAACTGATTAACAACCCCTCTCTGCTATTTAACTGACCAGAAATAAATTGGGTTAAAATGAAATCATGAATATAGTTTTAACAAGATTTTGTCTAAATTTGGGACTCCTCAAAATAGCCGCCTCTTGCAGATGTGACAGCAGAAGATACTCATGTTCACTCTTTGAAAATTGTTTTCTCATTTTTTGTGGCTTTGGTTTTGTCAGGCCTGCTCTTGTCAGATGAATCCTTTTTGATGGTCTAAGACAGTGTTTCTCAACCTTTTTTTAGTCAAGGCATCCTTTACAATTCTGCACAATCTTAAGGCAAACCATTCTAAAATGTAAAAAACTAAACTATTATTTTTACATAATACAGCAACATCCACACATGTAAAATACCCAACATTAGAGGTGTTTCATTCTTCCACAGAAAATACAAATTTGCACACTGGCCATTATTCCAATGTTTCTCTTCTCCCTCTGTTTCTCTCCCTCACTTAGCTAATGTGACCCCAGTGCTGATGGAGAGGAGCAAATAAGGATGCTGTGCAGGTGCCCGATGTTATCTTATCAACTCATTGGATGTTAGGATCTTGGCGGCTGGAAGGTTGTGATGGTGCACAATGAAAACCTGTGGCTTTGTTCAACTAAAAGTGAGGTTTCATCCATCCGTTGTCTTGTATATCATTTTTTTGGGCAATTTTTAGGCATTTTGACAAGGCACCCCTAAAGAAACCTGAAGGAAATCAGGGTGCTGATGCCTAAGAAACTGCACCCAATGATATCTTGGCTTTCTTTGTAATTTCTCTAAAGGAAAAGCCTAAAGGTTCTATTGTTCTGTCTTTCTTTTTTAGATGGATTTTCTTTTCATTATGAGAGAAATTACTACTTTCTGCAATGCAATATTATCCAAATAATGTTTCAGAGGGTATAGTAGCATAGGCTCCCAGGTATTTCTTTCATACAAATTCTGGGTTTATTAGTAAGGAATTTTCCCATGCATACAATCTCAGTACAGCCAGAAACAGGCAACATTCAATACAAAACTCTGAATGGATAATGATCAGTATTTTTATGACCGGGTTTAAAAAAAAGAGACATTTTTTTCAAACTTGATTTTAATGCTTTTAAGTAGCAGCAATTTATTTAAGATGACATTAAATCTCTAAACAGTTCTCATGGCTTACAAAACTGACTCCTTGGATTGCTTTCCCCAAGGATTTGCTGACTTTACTGTACAAATCAATCTAGAACAGGCACCTCACATAGAAGAGGGATACAAATATATGCATATTTATTTCAAGATATGTATACAAATGTACATGTTACAAGGTTGAAATCTTATTATAGATGTGTCTGGAAAAGAAAAAAAAAATACGCCTCAGTTGTATTGGGCCGCAATGTATATCCCAGTGCCTTCGGCTTAGACATTACATATCGGAAAAAATCTGGAGGTGGCATAGGAAGGAATATATATATATATACACACACACACATTTTTTTCCCTCAGTTTTTGAGTAGTAAAGGATCAGAATGCCAACCAGGCTTTACTGCTACACAGGGATCCTCTAAAGAGATTTATTCTCAACATGCTGACAAAGTTTCACCAGGCAGGAAGCAAGGGGAAATTTCCAACAGTAACACAGAAGTTTTCTTCTTTTTTTTTTTTTTTTTTTTAATATAGTAGTAGGAAAAGGCTAGAATTCCTGTTATATTTTTATCTCCCTTTTTTCCTGCCTGGTGAAACTGTTGGCAGCAGGACAGAAAAAGATAAGAAATCTTCCTGACTGAGCACCAGATAGCAGTAAAACTAACTTACAGGAATTCTAATCCTTCAACTGTATAATATATGTATGAAGAACCAGGAGAGTCACCAATCCAAAAGTAAATGTAAAATTGACACAAGATTAACGGGTAAGCTAGGACGACTCATCGGTAATAAATAAATACCACAGTTTCTTACAAAATATAGCATTAAATATCCAAACAAGAGGGTTTACAGTCAATATTAATCACATATCATACATTCACAAACAGAAAACCCTCTCAACATATTGATGTCATAGGTTACACTGTCAATGCGCTTCGTGGTCAGAAGTCGCTTCCTCAGAAGAAGCGGCTTCTGACCACAAAACACGTTGGCAGTTGACTGTAAACCCAAATTGACAGTATACCCTCCTGTTTGAGTATTTAATGCTATATTTTGTAAGAAATGGTGATATTTCAGAAACTTAAACCTATTACTGATGAGTCATTCTAGATTACCCGTTAATCTTGTGTCCATTTTTTAAATCTAATTTTTTTCCTATTCCTCCAAACCTGGAAAAAATGTTTTTGACCTGGCATATATAGATCACAATATCCTCAAGCCTATCTAGTTTGTGCTATAAGTGCAATGAAATATGAGACATGAGGCTATTAGGAATGTGGGTCCTGAATAAAAGGTAATTTAAAGATCAGAGCAGCTTTCTTTGGTCTGTCAGACTGGATCTAGGATGTCTTAATTTCAATACAAGTGCACAAGGACATGTAATGTCTATTATGGGGAGTAAAATGTTCTGTACATGTGCAAATTTTCTCGTTAGAGGTATACGCTTCAAGTACATTCTATATCCAGTTCTTTATTACACAGATTAACAACATCAAGACAAACATGAATAAAATGGCTGGTTGCATCCCCAACATTAAGTAGTATTTATAGAGTTAGACATAGACATGTTTTAGACCAAATATAGATGTATACACACAGATTACAATGCTGGCCTGGATTAAAGCAAGCCCTCAACCCTGGGCACATATATATCCCCCTGTCCTGAGGAATGATACCAATAGGAGGTGCTGCTGAGGAATAGAAATAAAATCCTTTTTATCATGTAAAACACTATGCCCCATTGTGCTTATATCTCCCATTCCACAGACAGGCCGATGGCTGCCTGAATCACCTGGGAGAGTGACTTGACATTTTTTATTCAATAAACATTCTTCACACTTATGAAAATGGTATTATCAGAATTTCTGCTTCAGCTAAAATTTCAGACACTAAGTGAGCCTAATGGCTTTCGGCACCAGTCCACCTCTAAACCTCCTACTGGTGGTCACGGTAACTTAGAAGATGCTTCATTGTTTACAGAAGGCAACTAAGCTGGTAGGACTCTTACAGTAAGTGCTATGGGGTTGAGAAGGTGCGATTTTCATGACATCAGAACACGCAAGTCTACATGTGATACAGATGTAAAAAGACTCCTCGTCATTGTACCACATTCAATAGATGTCTGGGAGGCTTGTATAGTTCCTGTCCCAGTACTTTCCAGAATACAGCCAGTCCTGTGCGTTGTTGTAGGGGTTAGGGCCTTGGTGGAACCACCTGTTGAAAGTAAATTGAGGCATGTACTATGGAAAAGCAATGCACATGTATACAAATATACATAATCTCCACTTTCTATAGAAAAACATGCATTTTTAGGCTCCATGCACACACTGGATTAAAAAAACGCTGTTCCTAGAGGAGTTTAGCGTTTTGCCTGTAGAAGCAACTAAAGTTATGCTATGTGTCCATGCACATTAGGTAATCTAGAGGCATTTTTAAGCTCAGAGCTTAGAGGCTGAGAAAAAAAAAAAAAACAACCTGTTTTGCATTTTTGAGAGCATTTTTCTTGCAGAAAAAAACACTAAACTCTCCCTAACACTCCTAAACACTCCTAAATGCTAGTACAAATAAACCCTCAAGATTAGTGGGGTTTTTTTTCTGCCAAGAGTACTGGCGTTTTTTTTGAGCCAGTGTGCATGGAGACTTATCTGTTAAATTTCAGTCCACACAAAATTGGTATTTTTGATTTTGGCCAGATACTAGCTGTTTACACAACTGAGTGGCTTCTTTTATCTCTCAGGGATCCCAGGTATCTGATCTCTGTCAGTTTCCAGATCTGCTCATCTGAAGCCATTATGGAGTGTCTTATGGTTTTTAATTAATTTTAGAATATTAATAATGCAGAAGGAGAAATAAAACTTCATAGTGCAGGGAAGCAGAAACAGGAACATTGCTGGGAGGGATACAAGAATTAGACAACAACCCAACTAAGCACCGTTTACCGAAAACTGAAATACACGTTGGAATACCAAATTTAACAATTCTTTGCACACCATGACTATTGGTAACTAAATTCAAATAACAGCAGAGGAAAACAATGATGACCAAATTCAAAAAAAGAAAGATGGAAGATAGCAAACACATAATTGTAGGCTCTGAGGTGAGGTGTCATTGTTCTTGTTGCTCAATGACGCAATGGGGCTGATTTACTAAAACTGGAGAGTGCAGAATCTGGTGCAGATGTGCATTGTAGCCAATCAGCTTCTAATTCCAGCTTGATCAATTTTTTTTCTCTCCATTTATACTTTACCTAGCAGGATGCAGCATCGGTCCGATGCTGCATCTGTCGCCCATACGCTCTAAGTGTGAGGACTCAGCAATCACATGACTGCTGATCGTGGAGTTCGTACCGCCGCTGTGAGCAAAGAGCTTTGGCTGTACTTCTCCTTTAAGCTTTGACAATAAAACCTGGAAGCTGATTGGTTTCTATGCAGAGCTCAGATTTTGCACTCTCCAGTTTTAGTAAATCAAACCTAATGGCTTGTATGAGCTTCTGTACAAACACTGCTCTAGAGTCTCTGGTGGTTACTGGTGACTAGTGGACTTTAAAGACATAAGCCCAGGCACAAACATATCTGTATTTTCTTATAGTAGAACTTGGCAGGTTTATATATATAACCATGTTGCTTTTTAAAGATGGAAGAGCTGCTAATATGGAAATGAGCTGATCTCTTGAATGAGACAACCAGCCATTATTGTCTGTGCTCTGCTGCCAGATTATAGAGTTAGTGTGACCCATGTTTAATTTGCACCCATTTCCTCCATAGACAGCTAAAACAGTCTAAGGAAGAGCAGTGACCAGAGAAACATGTTCCGATTTTTACCTTTTTATTATTCCGCATATGCATGACTTTTAGAGGCATAGAAACACATGAAAAATTAAGACTTCACAGATTCGGTTCCTGTGTTTCTGAATTTCAGATTGTTCATCATAACTATTATAGAAAGCAAAATTGTTCTCCAGCCATAGCAAACAAAAAAAGATGAAGTATTTACTGGAGCAACCTATAGCAACCAATTACTTTTCTTGTTACTGAAGCTAGATCAATCAGAGACTGATTATGAATGGTTACTATGGGTTAAGAACTGTGTTTCTATTTAAGTCTCTTTTATTAAGCTTGCTGGAGCTTTAGAGGATACTGGAGGTTTCTGCATGCTCATCTATAATGCATGGAGCCCTACGATATTATATATTTAAAGCATTATGGCTGACAGCTTGGCTACATAACAATGCCAGTAAACAAACATGGATAACAATGATGTAATCGTGTCTTCTTCAACTATAGGCCAGAAACAAATGCAACAAATTTAGAAGTAGAAATGTTTGTTCCATTTAATAACCCTGACCTTATGTACAGAAACATAAACTGAAATGTTGTTTTCCAGTCTTATCAGACTGGAACGATTCTTACCTTGTTTTCCAGTTTTCCTCACTTGCAGTACTTTAAAGAAAAAGAATTGATGTATTGAATATATGAATATATATATTGATGAACGATCTCTCAGGGAAGCCTACCCCGTGCTTGCTCTCCTGCTTCTACCACTTCCCCCACCAGCCACCATCCCCTCCCTCCTAGATTTCTTTTTCCTCACATGTTTTGCATTGTATTGGTATTGTTCTGTATCTTTTAATGTACAGCGCTGAGAACTATTGGCGCTTTATAAATAGAATAATGATGTTATAAAGAATTAACAGTAAAAAAAACAAAACCTTTTGCTACCAGAACATTGGCAGTCAAAATAATTCAACATGGAATAATATTTCCAATATGGCAAACAAAAAAAGCCAGTGCACCAGTGTGGAGTTGAAATGGAGGAATTAGGCCAAATCCCTGCTACATTTTGTGGTTTCAGTTTTGTATAGACCAGAGAAGAATTAATATTTCTATTAGGGTTTTGTTTCTGTCTACAAAACCAGTTGTTGCTTTAGTACCTACAAACACAATGTTCATCTAATGATTTCCTGCTGAACTGGCTGAAATTTGAGCCATTGGTGTTTCTGTTGGCACCACCCTACTTGACAAAAGTTGATTGAAAAATCAGCTGAGCCTGGCATATATCAGATGCAGTCACCGTTTGGGTATTATGACAGTCGAGAGTGCCGTTGTTGTCTGCAGGGGTGGCAGGTGAGGTTCTAATTTAAATCCATGTGAGCATGGCTAGCCTAAGCTGGTGCAGATTGGTGCCGATAGTCTATAGACAAATATAAGGATTCATTCAAACAGACGTACAGCGTTCAAAGCCTGCACCGCCAGTTTGGCTACGGTTGTATCCATTGTACAGATGCAGTACTTCACAGGTTGGTTACAGGCATCCCTCAGGCATGTTATTTAAAAGGAACTTTGCAATTTTAATGTTTCCCTAAATTGCTGTTACCTGCAAAGTGGAAATTAAACATTTTTTCTTTTATGTTTGCGTTGGTGCATGTTCCCTAGGGCAGTACCCACCCTATCTTGCCTATTAGCATAGAAAATGACAAATACTGTTTTTACCATTTGGCTCCCATTGACTTCAGTGAGGTTCAGATTTGGAACCCAAGCTTTAGTCATGTTCTGCAAAACTGTCTCAAACTGAGCCCAGGTATATTTGGCTCATCCCTAGTCAGCAATGACAGCCTCTGTATAAATCTCATGGTAGGTTCATTTTAAAAGTGAAGGCTTCAGGGCTAAAACATTAATCCTATTTAGTGAGTGACAGATCTGACACAAGCATGCAGGACAACAGACTTCTTAGACTTCACTGACTGCATGCTTAGTTTGGATTAGTTACTCACCAGTTAGGAAGTTAGAATCAATGTGACCACCTTGAAGTTTGCACCCAGGAAAAAGCAAGACCGTAGAGGCAGATCTCATACAGGTCTCTATACATACCAGTTTACTTTATGATCAATTTTGTTTAGTCTACTGTCTTAAGTTTTGTTAAGCATTTACCTATATCCCCATTTTCCATTGCACTAATATCAGGCCGTAGTCTGCAGTCTGTCTTTGGAATGATGCTTTCCATGCCCTTTTCTGTCTCATTCAAGGCCATAGCAAAGAGAGTGAAGTTGTACATCTAAAACCACAAACAGTAAAAAGAACAGATTTTTATACATGTAATCAATATACTTCACAACCTACTAATCAAGCAATATATTATCACACAGCATTCGGAAAATACATGTTCTCATAGAGAGCACTTGGGGACAATTGTCAAAGTTGTCAGAAACACAGAAGAAACATAGGGACTTATTGACTAAAACTGGAGAGTGCAAAATCTGGTCTAGTTGTGCGTGGTAGACAGTCAGATTCTAACTTCAGTAGTAGAATCTACTATAAATGTATGAAAACTTTGTTTTCTTGCACAGTTTGTAATTATGTAGCTAGCCATATTTGTTCATTATATGTGTTTAGCCTAGGCTTAGCTTCCCAGGAGCAAAGGTTTTTTTTTTTTAATTAATGCCAAGAAAGTTGTACTTATATTTTTTTTTTTTACTCACAATAGTAATAATGTGCTTTAATATTAGTAAGTACTCTACAGGTGAGTTGAAGTGTAAACTTTGACAACAGATCCATTTAAGGCCAGTCTTTCCCATAAAGGTACTTTAGTTATATGTGAAGCTCGGTGGGCTGATTCTGTCTCTGTATATACCTTAGGTGCTCTAACAGCAAGGTCTTCACCTTTCCCACTGCTTCGAGCTCCTCCTACTGCATTGCCCATTACAAAAAATAACTAAAAATTCCAGTAGGGAGAATGAGAACACCTTGCTACTGGCCACATCAATTGTGCAGACCCAGGAACCCAAGTGCAAAGAACTTACCAATACAGACCCCTATAAATAGAAGAAATCTAGTTTAAATCTCCAACATTTATCACAAATTGATTCATCAGTTTTGAGTGAGCTGACCATTTAAATTATTTTACCCTATCCGGTAACGGTTTTTAGTTGAATTCTCTATTAGGCTCCATACACACTTGGCATTTTAATAATGCTCTAACGTTAGCTGTGTAAAGTCACGTTAAAAGCGTGAGTTTTTCAGTGTTTTTGCTTTAGCGTTTAGCCGTGTTTTTTTTCGCGTTTGCATTTAGCCTTTAGTTTTTTAGCAAAAAAATTTTTTTCCCACAAAAAAAAATCCAAAAATGCCAGTTTGAAGCGTTTTTCAGTGTTAGAGCATTTTTACAGCCAAAAAAAACGCCTCTAGAAACCCACTAGTCCTGGGGGCTTTTTTCCAGTCAAAAAACGCCCCTGCCAAAAAACACGCTGAATACAGACTATGTGTGCATGGACACATAGGATAACATGCGGGGGTTTACTGGCTCTAGAAAAATGCCAAAAGCCAAAAACAGCCGCTGTAAAAACATCCAGTGTGCATGAGGACTTATAGCATTTCAGAATTGCACAAGTATTGCGAGCTACTGTGCTGTAGTAACTGCTCAAATGTACGTGTATATGTTATTTTGTGCTTTACAACATTTACAGATTGCAACAGAAAGCATATGGATGGTAACCTGTGTAGAGTTGGGGGGTCGAGGTGCTATTCGCCACAACAAAGTGCTCCCTGGAATAACCTGTACACTCTCAGAATCTGGTAGTGGCATTTCATCAGGCTCCTCTGCACTTGCAGTCTAAAACATGTAGATGGGAAGTAAGGGTAGATTCAATTAATGCAGATTGTAAATATAAAAGCTAGTGAGCGCGCTAAAAATATAATGAAAGCAGTTAATGCACAATGGTAAACCAAAAATACCAAATAAATAGTAATGTAAACAGGGGTGCAGCGCTAAAAACTCAGTAAATATAAAAATAAAAAATCTCCAATAAATAGTTCATATATAAATGATTAAAAAACAGTTCAGAAAGTAACTCTTATGCTCTTGTTATTTCTGGAACCGGTGTCCGTGCAGTGATATAGTAAGTAATGCGCACTCTCACCGGACGCGCATATAAAATGCGCCTTTAAATCAATATTCCAGATGTAATCAATATTTGGTCAGGAACTAGGTGGTCTTCCCTCTAAGGGGTGATAGGTCGTCAGACAGGAACCTTAGGGGCTTTATGAGTGATCCACGCCCGCCAGAGTTCCCTTTAAGGGGTTAAACTGGTATTTCTCCCTGGGTGGCAGATTCCTTCTATGGATACAGGGGTCCATCCTGAAGCAGTTTTATCTGAGAATTGAAGACTCCCCCCAGGGGGTTAAAACAAAGGTACGCCCATAGTGTAGTAGGGTTTAAAAACATTTAATGAGGCAAGTAATAAATGAATTAAAATTGATGCATCAAATGTTGTTGGAAATATATAAAAAACAGATGTTCCCTGTATTAGGGACTGACCATCTGACATTAAAGATGGCCACCGGAGCTCCACGTTGCTCCAGTGGCGTGACGTCAGGGCGTGATATGGCTCCTCCTGATGCGTATCGTGCTCAAGCACGTCTTCAGAGGGGGGTCGCCACTCCTGAAGGGAGTTTTCAATTCTCAGATAAAACTGTTTCAGAACGTGATTTTGCATTCCCGGGTAGGGGGCGCGCGCCTACCAGCGCTGCCATTAGTGGCTGTCAATCACTGGGTCCCAGCCGGTGATTGATGAGCATCTCCGACGGGGAGAACTGTTTGTAAACAAAACAGTTCTCCCTGTCAGCTTGTGCACACTGCTTTGGATGGCCATTCAAAGCAGCGTGCTTACAGTGAAGCACACGGACACAGATACAAGTAAAACAGCACACAGTTAACCCTTTGATCGCCCCTCATGTTAACCCCTTCCTGTCCAGTGCCATTAGTACAGTGTCAGTGCTTTTTTTTTTTAGCATTGATCACTGTATTGGTGTCACTGGGGATGTCAGTGAGACCAAGTGTCAGAAGGCCCGCAGCAGTCCCGCTATAAGATCGCCACCATTACTAGTAAAAGAAAAAAAAATATCCCAGTATATATACAGCCATTTGTAAACGCTATAACTTTCACGTAAACCAATTAATTTACACATATTGGAATTTTTTTAGCAAAGACATGTAGCAGAATACATCTGGGCCTAAATTTATGATGAAATTTGATTTTTACAATTTTTTTACTGGACACGTTTAATAGCAAAAAGTAAAAAATATTTTTTTTTTTTTCTCAAAATTGTCGGTCATTTTTTCTTTATAGAGCAAAAAAAAAGGACGTAAATATTATTTGGGTGCAGCGTTACATGACCTCGCAACTGTTAAAGTAATGCGGTGCCGTAAGGCAAAAAATGGCCTGGTCAGGAAGGGGGGTAAATCCTCTGGAGGGCAAGTAGTTAAATAAAGACCTACAACAAGATTGGCACAAGCTGTCAACTAAACATGCTCTATGAATGGCTATTTGTTGATTTCTCTTCAGTGCATTAATATCTGCAGACAACAGCTTGAAAATTCTCACAGGTTTTCATATAAAGACCATGAACAGGACTGGCAATTTCACTCATTGCAGCAGATGGACCTTCCATATCCTTTAATGAAGTTAGTTGCTAATCTTTGAACATCCGCTGAAACCTTCAGTTCAGATCCTACTGGAGCTCCCAGATGACAAGAAATGATATTACGCTTAAAATATATATGTGTACTAGTGAGCTTTGAACTGACTGAAGTTTTCTTTCACCAAGTTCCAATGGTACATAAAGCATATTGAGAAGGAATACAGATGCAGCCATACCATATATTCCACATATCTACATAGGCTAGCCATACACAGATTAAAATTCATTGCGTTCAGCAGCGACTGACTGAACTTTGATCAGTGTCTGACAGTCCCTTCTTGACAGAAGACAATTGTTTGATCGATTTCTGTTGAAGGGACATGTTGGAAAAATATTATTGCTCAGCGGCTGCAGCCAGTGATCAATGTATTCTGACACCTGTGCGACTGTCAGAATACAATGTACAGGTGGAAGGATTCCTCCATTCACTTTGTTAGTTTCTTTGTTTAGCCAAACTAACAAATGTCTCCATTTACACATGCAGTGTATGGCCAGCCATAGAATAGATAACAAAAGGCACATGATGCATAACATTATTTAGGAATATTAGATGACTGCATAATTATCATGGGGAGATCAGTACACTAAAAATACTGATTATGTAAACAATATTTGCTTCACCTTGGTCAAATTTTTCTTTTCTTCACCATATTTCTTGTCGTTTTTTTTAAACGTGTCAAATGTAGCTGGATCAATACAAAAGAGACACTCTGTCCACTTTCCATAGAGAGCGCACAGCTTCTTTTTACTGCATGAAGAATGTAAACCACAAGAGCTAAATATATATATATCAGTCAGATTCAAGGACAAACAGTGGGAGTGCCTGTATATGCTCAACACATTTAGACATTATACAGCAATTAAATTTTTGGTTGATATTCTGTCTCTATCATTTAAAATACACCTATGATAAAAATGATAGACCCTTCATTTCTTAGTAAACTGGCAAACTTACAGAATCTGCAGGGGATCAAATAATTATTTTTCCCCACTGTATCTATGGGCCATCCCACAGCACGTTTAAAAGAGAGTCCGGTATGATTTTAAGCCCAATTCAGGTGTGATTTTCAATGTCCTTCACTGAGAAACTGCACCTGAACTGCTGAACAAAGTCACACCGCAGGGGGATGAAACTGCTCCCTCAAAACTCACATACGCGTACCCAGGTTAAATGAGCTATTACACAATTCCTGGTTGACCTCTGTAACTGCAGGCACTGTAGAGCAATTACATCTTCAAAATACTGTAGAAGCACATGCAGATGGGTGTTCTTGTCAAACGCAGTTTTTTTTTTCTATTCAAATGCAGATACGTGCATTTGAATGGAAAACACAGCATTGCACCTGCAATCTGAACACATGCTACATTCAAAGAAATGCAGCACAACGAAAAACAAAAATGCAGCGTCTGAACTGCAATGTGTTCTGCTTCAGTAAAGTCAATGGTAATTTGCTGGTTTGACTTCCAAATGTACATCAAATGCTGGGAAACAATGCCTGTATGTAAGAGCACCAAATTGTTTTTTTCAGGAGCTCAGCTCCCTCTGCTCCCCCTCCTGTAGCTTTAGGGCTCATTCATACTACACGCTCAAGAAAATGATACATTTCTTGTGTAAGCTGGTGTATGTGCTGTACAGAATTTAGAGGGAGGTGTCTTGAGTTTTTACAAAGCAAAGCTCTGTTTTTTTCCCTTAACTTTATCACAAAATGAACTGCTGTTCAGGGCAGAAAGATGCAGACATACTCTGTGTAACGGAACCAGACCCCAGACCACACTTGGGTATATTCCGTTATACCGCAGCTTCCCTGTCCGAACACAAATCCACGAAACACACCCTTGAAATCCCTCAGGAAATAGACAGCACCCGACTCTTCTTAAAACAGGAAGTCAACTCCTTTATTTTTACACAAACAACAAGTTTTATACACAGGGTGGGGAAACACAATCAGGAACAGGAAACACATCATCAGCCTGCCCCATCAGTGGGAAGGGCTACAGGAAACACATCATCAGCCCGCCCCATCAGTGGGAAGGGCTACAGCACATGGCAAAGGACAATGGACAGCCACTTGGCGGTGAACAAAGGACAACACACCAATACACAATACTAGGACATTCACACCCCGTACCCCTTAACAGGCACAGGGTGAATTAAACATAATGAGGGGAACATGAGCTGATACAGACGTCCCCCCACCCACAAAAGTCACTTCCGTCACACTCTGCACCTGTATTCTAATGTGAACAGGACACACAGAAAACTATTATTTCTGTGAGCCATTGCACATGTGCAAAAAAGCAAGTCTCCACAAAGTTTGAATGAGCCATTAGAGCTCCTACTGTGCATGGCTCAGGATGAATGACTCCACAGTTCAGACAGCTACTGAAGTCAGTGGGGTTTGTTTTAAAACGAATTTACTGCTTATTGAGGATATTTAAATAGTTGACAGCCCATAGTTTGGCCACAGGTTTGCCATCAATGCGTGGAGGGGGAAGGTTCTCTTTAGTTATTCAGGTCTAGTTAAAGCACAGAGGAGAGAGCCTTTAGGCAGCAAAGAGACAATTTGCTGACTGCAAGTGGTAAATGTGTACTAAATATATGCCGAGTTTCAGAAAAGTAAAAAAGGATTAACTATATAAATATTTATTTAGTAATAAAAATAATGTAAAAAAGTGATGCTCTACACTCCAGTAAACACAATCTGTGAACATACCTTTTATCTTGGATGTATCCTTCCACTTTGTGCAATTCTTTCCCAAACAGACCACAAGGTTTAAAATTTAAAATGCACTTATCACCAGTTCTGAAAACAAATTGATAAATGAATATCCATTCATCTTGAGTATTAGAGGGCATGGGGATAATAGTCCAAACGACTTACTTGTGATTAGTGATTTCCATATTACCATACTGCTCAATCCACAGTTTGCCAACAATGATATTATGTACACAGCAAGTTGGGTTTGTCCAGGTATAGGATTCATTGTGCCTAAGACAAAGAAACAGGATTAGAGTAATAATATTTCAAAGGAACACCTTAGCCACCTCTATGGAATTTCTGTAGGTTTTCTAATCTGTTCTAGTCCCTGATTTCGATATACGTAGTGTTTACATTTTTTTTGTCTAACCCCTGTAAATGCATTGTGTATAAGGTTTAACAACTCGGTGCTTCATAAACCAGAAGATAATAGCTACATTAATCTAGTATTTTTAAGATATGCATATGAAAGTAATCAGAAAACTGTAAATACTTTTATTGCCGTGCTAATGTTTTACAAACTTTATTTTGATTTATGGATTATTACATATGCTGGCTCTTCTTTTTGCTTACTTGCTACATTGGCATATCCTTTGCCAACATTCAGTCCCCGGTCACATCAGTGCAACTTGTTATGCAATTTGATAGTTTCAAATCGCATGACAAGTCGCACCCTATTGTTCGCAATGGAAGCGGTCAAATCGCAACAATTTTGCAAGTACTTCATGCACTGCTTTTTAGAAGCTCAGGTGTGACTTGCATGAAGTTGCACAGATGTCTTCCAAGTCGCACCTAAAGTCAGACTGACATCCAACATTGAAATTGTGCAAATTCAAGTGAAATCACATGATTTCAAAGTCAGATTATGAGTGATTGAACCCTCAGGGGTGAGCAGACAGAGTACAGGAGGTGGTTGCCTTGGAACTAAATTGCTGGAATGTGGTGGAGGGATCTGAGGCCGCATTTCTACCTTGTCTGTTCTGTCACTGGAATCTTTCTCTTGTTAATTCTATGGGGTCTATTTATACTCTATTTCACAGGAAATCCATACAACTTTCACCTAGGATTCACACATTTTTCTAATTGAAAAAAAAAAAAAGTGTGAATACTGGATAACACAGAAAAGTGTGAATCTTGCTTGAAAACATTTATACAGCTTTTTCACTTTTATCATTCTTTCCCCTACTATTAAACAAACTTCGATTTCCTTCATGATCTAGCTTGGGGATCATGTCGTTGTAAAAAAGCCAATAAATAAAATACTTTCTGCCAAGACAGGAAATTACAGTAAATCTCAGCAATAGAGACACAGGAAAAAAAAAAAACCCCGTTAGTAGAATGAGGAAGGGTTAGAACTGACATTGACTTTCCTGACTGTCCTCGTCTTCTTGTCACTTGCACCCCTCATTGCTTGTATGAGCATAGATACAAGAAATGATGTAAAATCTCCCCAATGGGGTCACAAAAAACAAAAAAAACCTAAAAGAAACTTTAAAGCAACATTCGCACCAGCAATTAGGGTGGGTGCTAATTGTAGCAGCAGGAATAGTTGTGTCCAGCGTCCTGTCATTGTAGTAAAGGAGACGGCAGTCGCACTTAGCAGCTGAGAGTTGCAGCAAGAATCTCAATCGCCAGTGTTAGTGTGGCCTAACCCCTTGGCTTGCATGAAGCAGGCTGAAGGTCATTCAACCCAAGAGAGAGGGTAATTATTGTAATGAGAGCTACTTTTGATCAAAAATGCTGCAGGACAGATTTTCTTTTTTACTGAAGATAGCGTTGAAGCCTTAAATAATTAGACAACACATTATTCCTGAAAAACTGAAAGAGCTTGGTGGAAAATTGTCAGATGAACCGTGGTTGCATCCAATAACATACAGGCAATATTTGACTATTCTTACAGCTGCCGCAGCCTGTCAGCGTACAATAGCCCAACGGGGGATTTGTCCATCCATGCTACATAACATGGTGGAATAATCTGTCCATGTTCGTCCAGCCTGAAGGCTGAATGTAAAAAAAAAAAAAAAAAGCTATCTGTGTATGGCAGAGTTTTCTCAACCAGGATGTCATTGAACCCCAGGGTTCCCCTGAAGGCTGTGTAGAAATGGAAAAACTTAAATGACCCATTATAAGTAACAATCAATATGCATCTTGTCATCTCATGAACTGACTGCTTCTTGTCCTGCTTCTGCCTCCCACATTCAGGCCCTGCTGTAAAGCGGCTGTAGGAGGTGGGTACCAGGTCAAATTCAAGTGTTTACACTGCATTTTTAAATTAAGTATTAGAGCTGATGCACACATGTGCGTTGTGGATTGAAGCTCAGGTTTCACAGCTAATTGATATAGTAGTTGTTCACTGGTTCATGTCAGGTTTACGTCAGGATCAGGACAGGATTAGCTCAGGATTTTACAAGTGCCGTTTAGAAACGGTTCACATAGAAGTCAATAGCCTGTAATCTGCACCTGAAGGCACTGCGCGAAAATCGTACGTGACTCTTTTTCAAACCGCACTGAATCCACACCACCAGGTGCACCGGACATATGTGAGCAGGCACCATAGGAAGCAATGCTTTTTTTACATGTCATATGGATTGGCTGCAGTTCAAACCTCATCCAACCTGCATATATGTGAACCGGAACTAAAGTGTTACTAAACCCACAACAGTAAAATCAGTCTGTATATGCAGTAAATGGGTTAATCCTCTGCATTGCGTAGAAATGCTGTTTGAGCCTGACTTCTATGATCTTCCCCTTCTTCCAGTCCCCCCCTTTTATCTCCCGATAAGACATATAATGTGGAGTCATGCTGCATATGCTCAGTTTTGTGTGTATTGCTAGAGTGTTTTTTTTTTTAATCTTGCAAGAGTGCATGTGAACAGAACAGGGCCAATCAGCACTGTCCAGACAGAGGGAACAGGGGTCATGCATCCTCCTACAGCTACTGAAAACTCCTTTTACAAGCTTTATCATGTGCTCAGCTGGAAACTGATAGAAGTCACAAGACTGCTCTAACTGCTGATGAGAAAAGGTATTTAGAAGTTTATATTTACTAAAATAATTGCATTTCCATATTCTGTGTACTGTGGGAGACCAGATATTGTGAATGCAGGGTCCTGGGTTTAGTAACACTTTATTGATTACAGAACTGCATTAATTTGTGTCTTTAACATCTGCCTAGCATTTAGCTTTAAACAAATTTACTTACTTGAGAAGTTCCAATGTGATTATTCCTTTGGGTTCTGCTTCAACACTCTTTCCCCAGAACTTGAGTTTAGGATATATTGATCCATGAAAAACAAAGTCATTGCTAAGGCCTTCAGCATGGAAAGCGCTAATTGGTGGGTGGTGGCTGACTTGTTCAGAAATTAATCTAAAGCCAAGATCCTCCCTGAAATACAAAAACCAGACAAATTATATCACAATGTAACAGCAATCACTCAAGTGTTTCTGATATATGAGCAGTACTTGCCACCGCCCTTTTAGAATACTTAAGGGTTGATTTACTAAAGGCAATTTGGTTGTTCACTTTGCATAGAAGGTTGCACTTTGCAAGAAAGGTTTCTCCAGTGCATAGTGAATGCGGTGAAGCTCTGCTGACATCCATCATTCAATGTGTAACCAAAAATGCTTTTTTTTTTTTTTAATTTTCCTTGCATGTGATTGGGAGTTCAATGCAAAGTGAAATTTCAACATTCGCTAAGCTCTGGGGAAAATTTCCTTGCAAAGCAAACAACCTATTTGCCTTAAAGCGGAGTTCTAGCTGAAAAAACTGTAGCTGCTGACTTTTAAAATACAGGTATTTACCTGTCCCTTGGTCCAGCGGTGTCCTCACCATGGCTGGTTTCACCGGCCCCGTCTTCTCTCCCCGGCATCTTCAGTGTGGGCACTCGGCTGTGACAGCTTGCGGCTTCACAGCCGGGTGCCCACTGTGCAGGAACAAGAAGTGCTGCACTTTGTGAATGGCCCCGTAGTCCTCTTGGACCTGACACGTGTACCAGAAGACTAAGGGGAGAGAGGGGGGACAATTTCCGCTTCCGATCGCCTAGGCGATTACAGTGGAAGTGGGAGCGGGTACCTGTCAAATCCACTCCCTAAAGATGCCAATCCTTCATGGGGAGCGGGAGGCAAAGGCTTAAAGCGGAACTTCCCCTTTTGGGTGGAGCTCTCCTTTAAAGCTCCATGCACACTACTGTTTTTTTAAGCTCCTAGAAGCTGGTATTAGCATTTTTTCTGCTCCTAGAGGCTAAATAATGTTATCCTATGTGTCCATGCACACTACCTTAGGCTATTCATATTTTTTGAGCTTCAGAGTCTAGCAACAGGAAAAAAAAATTTTTTTGTTGAGTCTTTTGGAGTGTTTATCCAGCAGAAAAAATGCTTGCTTCTAAACACTGCTAAACTACTAAAGCACTCTTAACAGCTTTTTACTAGCTTTTTGTCCTCTACATGTACTGAAAAACGCTAATAAAACACTAATGCTCCTACATGCTACTAAAACTCTACTAAAAAATGCTATTACCAGCATTCTTTATCCAGCGTTTTTTGAGCTAAAAAAAACAAAAAGCTAGTGTGTGCATGGAGCCTTAGTAATATATATATTTAGCAGTGTTGACTTTGAAGGGTTCTATATGAAAGAACAAGTAATGTGCTATAAAGTTGTAAGTCTTTAGGAGGAAATGGAGGGATATGGTGGTGCTCCTGTGTGATCATGATACCTACCAGACTTTATGCCCTATGCAATTTGACAGCTCAGGCGACCCCATTCCCCAATCATAAGTGTTGGCACCAAGAATAAAAACTAAAACGTGTTTGGTGTGGCAGTGGATATCTGCCTTTAGTCTGAGTTATTATCAGTGTTATATTTATGTTTTGTTATTTAAGTGCCATTGATGGCCCCTGCGTGGGCATATCTTTTGCCCTGTTGGTGTTAGAGCACTGATTTCTCTAATTTCTAGTTCCTCTATGTGCAATTGATAGCCCCTGCGTGGGCATGATTTGTTGCTTCTGTGTTGTTATAAATTAATAAAAACCATTGAAATACAAAAACTAAAAACGTGCAGAATGGTCATTGCAGGTTCTGCAGAAGCTCACAATCCTATAGAGCATTCCAAGTACAGATAACCTCAGGGTATGTAAATAAAGTCCATAATTATGATCTTGAATGAGTTACCCTTTAAACCCAAATTCTACCACTAGAAAAGCAGGCTGCCTGAAAATAGTGGAATGCAACAGTACTAAAGACACAACCTATTTAGCACATGGCAACCAGATATCACATGATATATTCTACATGACATGGAAATATTAAAGCAGACACTGGGCTGGTTACTGTGGGGAACAAAGACCTGACTCTCAAAGTCACTAATGAAGTTGAACTGTTATTGGTCATGGTGTGAAAATTTCTCTTACCGTACTAACTCGTACGTTTCCCCGAGGAGAGGATTGAAAGGTTTCCCTGTGCGTTCCCATTGTGATGCAACTGCTGAAACTGCAAAGGCAGCAACACACTGTAAGAAAGATGAAAAATTTGAAAAATAATTATTACAGGCATGACGTAAAATAATGTATTACTGATACTAGGTGATGCCTGATGTAAGAGAGGCATGAATACATATACTATACACTGAGCATATCTAAATGTATAGTAACATTTATTGTAAACAGAAATATTCTTTTGTGACATTCATTTAGTCCTCTTGCACACTGGATATTTTTTTCTGCTGCTCTGGCATTTTCTTTTGCTGCAAAAACTCCCCATGCACACATAGGCTTTTAGTGGAGTTTTGAGGCAGAAAAAAACCCCACTGGCAATGTGTCCAGGAGAGGTGGCGTTTTGGCAAAAAAAAAAATGCTTGATGCCTAGAAGGCCCCTTTTACACAGGCAGACCGATAAGGTCCGTTTTTCAGGCAGACCCAAAGTGCACTTTATGGAGTGGCAGATGTAAACGGACATGTATCTGTTTACACCTGCCTGCAACCGATCTGATCTTATCCACTAAAAACAGACAGATGGAGATCTGTTGCCCAATAATCTAACGTATTGGATGCAATTGGATGTAAACAGGCAGCCAGTCTGTTTACATCCGACCGCCCAGACAGGACAGTGGGCTGTATCTGTGTCCGCTCTGCATAAGCGGAGCAGACACAGTCCTGTCATCTGCCTTCTCAGTGGGGATCAGAAGACCGCTGAGCAGGTGGATCTGCTGGTGGAGCCTGCCAGTGTGAAAGGGGCCCAAATAAGTCTAAATATGCCTAAGCACTAGGCACAGTTAGCACTTGTTTGGTAATTCATTTCAATGCTCAGAATAAATAATTATTCTGGCCATTGAAATGAATTAACGCCCAAGTGCTTGACGCACCTAAATACGTCACACACTTTTACAAGTGTCAGCTGCCAAAATGCTGCTGCCAGGAGGAAAGGCATCTAGGGGAGTTAGCAAAACATCCAATGTGCATGAGGCCCAAGAAATCACTTTCCTGGATTATTTGCTATTCTAGCGCAAGGCTAACCAAAATAATGACAACATATCAGATGATGGATAACTGGGTGACTTTTCACTAGGTACAGCATATAACAGCTTGAAATGCATACAAGCTTCAGCTTTTACATATCTGGCTTAAAATGGATTTATAGTGGTATAAAATACTTAGGCCAGAATTGAACAGACATTTTTGAGGGGCAGTGTTGACAATGACAGTCGTCCGTTATCAGTTCCGATCTATGGTTTGTGAAGAAATTTACTGATACCAAACTATATATACAAACAACAAGAGGGGATGGTTGTAGACATCCTTTAGAGTTCTGCAGGGCCACTGTACTGGAATGGTTGGTGCTTGTGTCCAGTTCATGTACCTATCTCTCAATCTGTGAGACCAGCACCAAGGATGGAGGGTCCATTCTGAACTTTTGCATGCTCCCTCCCCGGCCACTGCGCCTGTCACACAGACAAGCGCCTATATGTTTTGATGGGGAACTGAGAGACTAGTTCATCAGGTCCTCGTTTCTGTTGACTGACAGCGTATGGCAGTGGGAGGATCTGTAGTCGCTATTCAGTTCAACCTGATGAGGAACTAATCTTTCAGTTCTCCATCAGGATCCCTCCACCAAACAGGTGTAGAGGTCATGGGGACCAGTTCCCCATCAGGTCTGCCACCCCTGCTTTATTGAATTGCCCGGAGGTTTTTTATGTAAACACTCTTTGCACCACAATGAGGAAATACTGCAGTTCTATTATACAATATCAACTTTTTTTCATACTTCTACATCCTTGTAAAATAAAACACAAAACACTAATAAAGGAAATCTGTGCTATGAGCAATAGGAAGGCTGCTATTGCTAACATTCCTCTGAAAACTTTAGCTGCCTCACTGTCTCTGGTTTCTCAGTAAAAATAATTCCAGGGGATCGGCAATACATCCAGGAAACTAGCGGTTTCAGAAGAAGATCAGATGTGGCAGCTTACACATTTCTCTCAGTTTTCTTTAAAATAACCGTTTCTAATACACACAATGGTTCCTGAATGTAAATGAAAAGGACAAGCCAGATTTAGCAGATGCCTGCCAAATGTGCCTTAAAGTGGAACTTCACTCTCTCAATCAACATTGACTATTTGTGACCCTTATGCTGCCAACATCAGTAAATAGATAGGAAAGTAGATTATGTTTACTTGCGTTAAACTTTTTTTTTTACATTTTTTCAGTTATTTCCTGGTTTCCATGCCTAGGCAAATGATGTCACACATCCCAGGAGTCTTCAAGAGGGGGAAGGTTCTCAGCTCAGCCAATGCCTGAGCTAAGGTTAGATGGATTCCAGGAAGTGCTACATGAATCATCTGATCTTACTCAAGATAGCCACTGCCAGAAAAGCTAGGGGTGTTTTTAAAAATGAATTCTCTGCAAAATAAAGCATGGAAACATAGATGTGGGAGTTTGCTTTGAATATTGAAAATTGATTAACTGCTTTCCCGTGGCTTTATAGCAGAAATACTGCTACAGGGCGGCAGGGGTGAGAAAAATCACGTATATATGCGTGATTTTGCATTTCCAGGTAGGGGGCACGCATGCCCTACCCACGCCGCCATTTGCGGTCTCAGCTTTCAATCACCGAGTCCTGGCCGGTGATTACTTGCCAGCACCTGGAGATTGCCAAGTATTACCAACGGGGGAGAGAACTGTATGTAAACAATATATTTCTCTCCCCTGTCAGCTCCGGCATACTGCTTTGTATGGTTCTGCATAGCAGAGCCATACAAAGCAGTGTGCTTACAGTGGAAAGCACAGACACAGCCCCATAGTAAAACACACATAGTACACGGTTAACCCTTTGATCGCCCCTCATGTTAACCCCTTCCTGCCCAGTGTCATTACTACAGTTTCAGTACTTTTTATTAGCAACGATCACTGTATTTGTGTCACTGGGAATGTCAGTGACACCAAGTCATTTACCCCCAATGTCTGAATGCCCGTTGCAGTCCAACTATAAGTTGATGATCGCCGCCATTATTATTAAAAAAATTTCAGTATCTATACCGCCATTTTTAAACGTTTAACTTTCACGTAAACCAATGAATTTACACGTCTTGGGATTTTTTTTAGCAAAGACATGTAGCAGAATACATTTTGCTCTAAATTTATGATGAAATTAGATTTTTTTACATTTTTTTATTGGATATGTTTAATAGCAAAAAGTAAAAAATATTGTTTTCTCAAAATTGTCGTTTTTGCTTTTGTTTATAGCGCAAAAAATAAACGCGCAGGCGATCAAATACCACCAAAAGTAAGCTCTATTTGTGGGAAAAAAAGGCCGTACATTTCATGTGGGTGCAGCGTTGCATGACCGTGCAATTATCAGTTAAAGTAACAGCGACGTAACGCAAAAAATGACCTGGTCAGGAAGGGGGGTAAATCCTCTGGAGGGCAAGTGGTTACATAGCATTTTTGTTTTGTGGTGCTCAGCTGCAGTGCAGTTCCACTTTAAAAAACACAGAATAAATGTAATTTAGAAGTATATATTAATAAAAAGATTATTCAGAAATCACCTGCATTCGATCCACATGGTCAGAGCAGAGGTTTGCTTTATGAATGAGGTATGTGTGCTCCATGTATTCTGAGAGGCGTTGTAGAAAGCTCAGCGGCTCATTAAATATAACAGGCATTGTGATTTTTGATAATTCCTGTTTGATACAAGAAAAGAACAAACATAAAGATACTACTAAAGTCATTATGTGTGTGAAAATTGCTAGAAGTTATAATAGGAACTCATACTGTATGCTTTATCAGACAGGAAAAAAGCAAAGACTATGACACTAATAAATCCTGCACTGTTTTAGTCCATGAAATGTTAAATAACCGGTAAACAACATTTTTTTTAAAGGAGATGTATGAGGTATATAAAAAAAAACAAACATACAGATTCACCTCCATGTGACCACATCGGTCTGATGCTGCAGCTGTCCCCCCCACCAGCTCTAAGCTCGACAACTCAGTGAATACATCGAACTTCTTAGAGCAGAGATCAGTGGCTGTCAGTCACCGCTCTCTACTCTATCCTTCTGGCACTCAATGGAGTTCGGGGTTGGAGAGGGAGCGGGCACAGCTGGCCTTGGCACTCAGCCACGTGCTGACAGCTTGATACAGCTGTCAATCAGGCAGCTGGGTTGATCCTGACAATTTGGTTGGGAGCCTTCCAGAGCCTGGAGCGTCACTAACAACAGCTGACAGAGGACTGTAGCCTGTAGTCAGCTGATTTTGGGTCACAGAAGAGCAAAAGTATGGGCATTCCTGTGACCCACAAGAGAAGTTTGGCCAAAGATGATTTGGCCATACTTCTCTTAAGACCAAAAGTGGTTGTGCACTGGAACCTTTGAGTACAGTACAGGACACACAGGCAACTCTCATTCATAAACCATAGGTTGGTGTGAGCCTGTAACCCACGGTATATGAATAAGTTGCCCGGTTCCTTATTGTAGGATTAAAATATTAAATATTAAAAAATTAAAATATATCATTTATACAAATTACACTCATTATTTGATGCGTCGTTTACTGTTTCTATAAATAGTTATACAGATCCTGGGATACTAGACAGAAATTTGGGATGGGCAAACAGATCAGGTGTTCAGTTGTTATCAATTGTTCTTCTAAATACTACATTTATTTTAAAGCTGAACTCCGGGCACAAGACCTGACATACCACAGTACTTAGAGAGAGAAACATTGATCCATTTTATTGCTTCGTCTCCCGAGTTTTCCATCACGATTAATATACAGCGGGTAAAATAAGCATGGAACACACATCACCATTTTTTTCTCTGTAAATATATTTCTAAAGGTGCTATAGACTGATGGCCTTTAATAAGGTGTCACACAAGAAACATCTCATGATGGGTAAAAGCAAAGAGGGCTCTCAAGACCTTCACAACCTTGTTGTTCCAAAATATACTGATGGCATTGGTTACATAAGTATTTCTAAACTTCTGAATGTTCCAGTGAGCATTGTTGGGATCATAATCCAGAGGTGGAAAGAACATCATTTCACCATAAACCGGCCACGACTAGGTGCTCCTCGCAAGATTTCTGACAGAGAAGTAAAAAGAATTATCAGAAGAGTTGTTCAAAAGTCAAGGACCACTTATGGAGAGCTTCAGAAAGACCTGGAATTAGCAGATACAATGGTTTCATGGCCACACAAGACTCTTTTTCTGAATAAGAAGCATGTTGAAGCTCGTTTAAAGTTTGCTGCACATCATTTTAGACAAGCCTGTGAATCACTGGGAGAATACAGTCCGGTCAGAAGACACCAAAACTGAACTTTTTGGATGCCATAATACACACCATGTTTTGAGGTCAAATGGCACTGCACATCACCCCAAAAAACACCATACCAACAGTGAGGTATGGAGGTGGGAGTATCATGGTGTGGGACTGTTTTTTCAGCACACGGTACTGGCAAACGTCATGTCATTGAAGGAAAATATCAGAGTTCATAGAAGAGGCCCACAGAACTTTCAAGATTTGAAGACTATTTGTGTGGAAGATTGGGCCAAAATCATACCTGAGCAATGCATGCAATTAGTTTTTTCATACAGAAGGCGTCTTGAAGCTTTCATTACCAACAAAGAACTTTTTACAAAGTATTAAATAAATTTCAGTTAGCGTGTTCAATAATTTTTTCCTGTGTCATTCCATTGTATTACACATAACTTAATTTCTTTGCATGTATGGATTGCATGGGTTTGTTACCGACGTGGTGAGAATTTCATGTCAGTAGGACCTTTAGAAATATATTTACAGAGAAAAATTATGATGTGTTCAATACTTATTTTACCGGATATATATATATATATATATATATACACATATACACACACACACATACATACACACGCAGTGGCCCTGACAAGTTCCATTGTACTTACAGAGAACACTGTACCATTTTCATCAATCTCTGCCCCCTGGGGATATACAGTTAGGTCCATATATATTTGGACACAGGCACAATTTTAGATCTTTTTTCAGTTATTTACCAAAACATATTCAAGCTATAGTTATATAATGGATATGGGCTGAAAGTGCACACTCTCAGGTTTAATTTGAGGGTATGTACATCCAAATTGGAAAAAGGGATTAGGAATTACAGCTCTTAAGAATCTGGGTGCAAGTCTAACACAACTCTTGATGGCAGTAATGGACTTTGAGCACCACCTTTGAATCCTCCCCCACCACCATTTTGCTTTTTGCAGCTCTTGGCACATTTCTATTTGCACACCTTTCCTGTTTTTTTTTTTTTTTTTAATCCATATTCCCATGTTTTACCAGAATGCTAGAACCAATTTCCATTTAGCTGTCAAGACTGTAAACACATTTTTAAAAAGCCATCAAGCAGCTGACGAGACCACTAATATTGTACAAGCGAGTTGCACAAATTGATAATTGCACTGGTAGACTGCACATTGTAAAACTAGCTACAGCCAGAAAATGGAAGAATAACCTTTTAGTTTCAGGATGCTAAATGTCCTATTGTTGGTACATGAGAAACACAGACAATTCCAATTTGCTTTGGGAAGCAAAGCAATAAATGCAACATACAGTGGGGATCGAAAGTTTGGGCACCCCAGCTAAAAATTTGTATTAATGTGCATAAAGAAGCCAAGGAACGATGGAAAAATCTCCAAAAGGCATCAAATTACAGATTAGACATTCTTATAATATGTCAACAAAAGTTAGATTTTATTTCCATTATTTACACTTTCAAAATAACAGAAAACAAAAAAAATGGCATCTGCAAGTTTGGGCACCCTGCAGAATTTATAGCATGCACTGCCCCCTTTGCCAAGCTGAGACCTGCCAGTGTCTTGGATTGTTCTCAATCATCGTCTGGGAAGACCAGGTGATGTCAATCTCAAAGGTTTTAAATGCCCAGACTCATCTGACCTTGCCCCAACAATCAGCACCATGGGTTCTTCTAAGCAGTTGTCTAGAAAACTGAAACTGAAAATAGTTGACGCTCACAAAGCTGGAGAAGGCTATAAGAAGATAGCAAAGCGTTTTCAGATGTCAATATCCTCTGTTCGGAATGTAATTAAGAAATGGCAGTCATCAGGAACAGTGGAAGTTAAAGCAAGATCTGGAAGACCAAGAAAAATATCAGACAGAACAGCTCGCAGGATTTGTGAGAAAAACAATTCAAAACCCACGTTTGACTGCACGATCCCTCCAGAAAGATCTGGCAGACACTGGAGTTGTGGTACACTATTCCACTATAAAGAGATACTTGTACAAATATGGTCTTCATGGAAGAGTCATCAGAAGAAAACCTCTTCTACGTCCTCACCACAAAAATCATCGTTTGAACTTTGCAAATGAACATATAGACAAGCCTGATGCATTTTGGAAACAAGTTCTGTGGACCGATGAGGTTAAAATTGAACTTTTTGGCCGGAATGAGCAAAGGTACGTTTGGAGAAGAAGGGGCACAGAATTTAATGAAAAGAACCTCTGTCCAACTGTTAAGCATGGGGTTGGATCAATCATGCTTTGGGGTTGTGTTGCAGCCAATGGCACAGGGAACATCTCACGAGTAGAAGGAAAAATGGATTCAATAAAATTTCAGCAAATTTTGGATGGTAACTTGATGGCATCTGTGAAAAAGCTGAAGTTAAAGAGCGGATGGCTTCTACAAATGGATGATGATCCTAAACACACCTCAAAATCCACGGGGGATTACATCAAGAGGCGTAAACTGAAGGTTTTGCCATGGCCTTCACAATCTCCTGACCTCAACATAATTGAAAATCTATGGATAGACCTTAAAAGAGCAGTGCGTGACAGACAGCCCAGAAATCTCAAAGAACTGGAAGACTTTTGTAAGGAAGAATGGGCAAAGATACCTCAAACAAGAATTGAAAGACTCTTGGCTGGCTACAAAAAGCGTTTACAAGCTGTGATACTTGCCAAAGAGGGCAGTACAAGATATTAACTCTGCAGGGTGCCCAAACTTTTGCAGACGCCATTTTTTTGTTTTCTGTTATTTTGAAAGTGTAAATGATGGAAATAAAATCTAACTTTTTTGTTGACATATTATAAGAATGTCTAATCTGTAATTTGATGCCTTTTGGAGATTTTTCCATCTTTCCTTGGCTTCTTTATGCACATTAATACAAATTTTTAGCTGGGGTACCCAAACTTTCGATCCCCACTGTACTTTGGCTTTTGAGATGGCCTTCTGCACATGGAAGAAAAATATTTGAAGTATATTTTAAAAATATTCTTCCCAAATATATTGACATATTTGAAATGCTACAAATTTTGGCCATATTCAATGTATTTTAAAATATTTTTCAATATATATATTCTGTATGTTGAATTTATTTATTACAAAATATATGAAAAATATTTTTAAAAATACATTTCAAACATACCGTATGTCATTAAAAATACAAATCTACATTTTTGGAATGCATTTACAAATATATGCAAAAATATATGTTAAAATTACTTTTTTATACATTAAAAAAAATCTGAAGAATACATTTTAAAAAAGTGGCTAAAATAATATTACGTAACTTTTTTCTGATGTTAGAAAAATGAGGTTTACATTTTTCTGCCACTGGTGTTAAAGACCAGGCACATTTACTTTACCCTCAAAATGAGATACACATTGATATGTAATAGG